AAGTTTGCTAACATTCTGCAGTTGTTTTTGTTTGTTAGCTTGTTTTCGTAAATATTTACAGCTTCTGGAACCTTTAGGTTTTGGACAATTTTGCTGGAAGGTGTCGCACTTGACTCTTTAAAAAGATTTTCCTTGTTCCTCAGTTTGGAGGCTCAAAAAGAGCCCAAAATGGCCACTATAATTTTAAATTACCCCGGGTTATCGTGCCTGCTGTTTATAGTTATCCCCATGTTAGGGGGCTCTTTCCAAGGTGGCCACAACAAACAAGGTAATTTCTAAAGAGAGTTTGTAGTGCCCCGCTCGCCTCCCTGGCCCGGCGGAGCCCAGGCCCCAAGCGGAGCAGCACCACGTTCCGGCGCAAGCTGACAGACCTGGACTACCACAACCCCCCAGGCTTCAACTGCAGGGATGAAACAGAATTTAGAAACTTTATTGTTTAGCTTGAAGACCAGAAAATCAGACACTACAAAATTGAAGACGGGGTAATTTAAGAAACATCCACAGCCGTGACTGGCCCAAGTTCTTTGAAAAATGTCTCAGAGATGTTAACTGTCCTTTCAAGATTCAAGATCTATAAGAAGCAATTGACTGGCTTCCTGGTTTAGCTGTTAGACTTGAATTTGGAGATCATGCTGAAAAGTACAAGGACTTAGTACCTGATAATACAAAAAATGCTGATAATGCAGCTAAAAGTGCAGAGCCATTGATCAATCTGGATATAAATAATCCTGATTTTAAGGCTGGCCTAATGGCTTTGGCTAATCTTCTTCAGATCCAGCATCATGATGATTACCTGGTAATCATCATGGTATGCTCAAATGCTCAAGGCTATTTGCATTTTGGTCCAGGAGCGCATGACACAGGATGCAGTTGCTAAAGCAAATCAAACCAAAAGGGCTTGCCCGTTGCTTTAGACAAGAACATTCTTGGTTTTGACAAAGGAGATGCAGTTCTTAGCGAAGCTGCTCAGGTTCTGTGATTGCTGCATATAGAAGAGCTCAGAGAGCTACAGACAAAAATTAATGAAGCCATAGTGGCTGTTCAGGCAATTACTGCTGATGCAAAGACAGACTACAGACTGGGGAAAGTTGGAAGATGAACATTTTTAGGATTTCAGCTTCTCATCTACTTAGTACAGTTGGGAACCATGTACTCTCTGGCATGTGTTTGGAAATCAAATGTCACGTTTCGGAGGGAAGAATCCCAGAAAATTGACTATGTTCTAGAGATTTACCATCATTGCTTTTTCTTTAATAAAGTTTGGGAAACTGGAAAAATATTAAAAAATAGAGTTTGTTATAGTCACTGAGAAACTCAGTCCCCAAAACAACCAACTCAATTTAGACAAAGATTAATGCACAATATAGTTCTACACATAATACAGACCAGAATACCAGCTAGTTTGCCAAGAGTAGCTCAGAACCAGACTGCCAGGAGCTACTCAGAATCAGGGCCAGGAGCTGCTCAAAACCAGGAGTAGCTTGGAACCACTGCTAGGAGCTACTCAGGAGCCACTTCATGAGTGAGGCTTTTATCCTGCCTCTAATTCCCTTGGTTGGTTCAGGTCCAAGGTTTGGGACTCAGCCCACCAGGATTCTCCAGAATACAAGCCAAATTAATATTCTCAGGGAATCAAACCAGAGAGGTAACGTAAAGGACAGGTGCTTTCTTAAAGTTACTCACCCAGAGCCCAGAGACATCTTGATTAAGAAGCTGTTTCTTCTCCCAAATGAAAATAAATGACTTGAGGCCTGGAGTGCCACAGCAGGAAATGGGAATACCATCAGCTGAGCCTCTAACAGAAGTGTCTAGGTGGCCACTTAGGGTGACAAAAAGACCCCACACCATGCTGGGGGTTCCAGAGCCTCAGGTGGGCAGTCACAGGACCTTGTCCCTTCGTGGTCACCAAAATGTTTTACTGCACAAAATTGGGGTTCTCTGGCCCAATGTGCATTAAAAAAACCTAATTATAGAATCAGCTTTTGGGAAAAGAAAACATCTTTATTGCCACATTGCTATCTGCTATTTGCAAGAAGACAGGGGCACATGATCTCAGATCTGTCTCCCTGATCCAGGGCTTGGTGCAAAATTTATGGGATGAAAGGAAGGGTGGTCTCAAGTGTGGAGATAGAGAATTGGAGGTAAAGAGAAGTCAGGTAATTGATGATCTGCACAAGTGTAGTCAAACTTCACGGCTCTTCATAGGACGCATGTTCACAAAATGGCCACGGTTACCATGATCTGAGGGCAGAGTTTTTAGCTCTTTGAGGTCAAAAAGGTCACTGATTGACCTTTGCACAGGCCCAGTTGATGAGTTGGTGGTCCCAACTGGCCCAAATTGGACAAGGGTGTCTCAGTTCCTGAAAAACCACTCTTAATTACTCTGTTGATAAGATGGGGTCAGTTGAACTGGTCCTAGAGGGCCCCTGGTTACACTGCTGAGTTGGGGGTTCTGGTCGCCAGGTAAGGACAATGTGGGGGAGAAGAGGGATGTAGGGGTGTGTGTGGCATCTGATTGAGAAGTTCTGGAGAATATGGGAAAATGGAGGTGGGATGGAAGGAAGATACCTGGAAGGCAACCTTTTGAGGGAAAAGGGGTTTGAGAGACCATGAGAAGGGAGAGCTAGGAAGATGAAGGCTTGGTAGGTTCGGGGAATGAGTGAATGGATGAACGAATGAGCTGCCACTGTGAGCATAGCACGGTGCAAGGAACCTTCACTTTTCTCATGTAATTATTTTTCATCTCCATTTTGCAGGTGAGGAAACCTAGAGTGTAACGTGTAACTTACTTGCCCAGGGTCACACAGCTACTAAATGGTAGGATCAGGAGAGGAATCTCTCTCTCCTGACTCTAGTCTTAACACCATACCTTTGCTGGGCTGGGCCAGGGCAAAATTTGAGAATAGATGTCGGATATTCTAGGAGGCCCTCAAGCTTTAGGGAAACGGTGTTGAGGGATTGGAAGAGCAGTTCAGAAGAGTGATCAAGTTCTGCCTTCATCAGCTATGTGCTGGGATTTCTAAGACCTTCTGTGAAATGGACATAAGTTCTGTCAAAGAGGGGGCCATCCATGGAGCTTTTCTGACCCTGGGAGGAAAGAGCCTGAGTCTCCTATTGAGGGAGGGTGAGAAATTAAGGAGGATGGAGGGATCCTGGCCCACGCTGCACCTGCCAGTAATGGACTTAGACAAAGTCCACTTTTGTGATCTACCATCCCTGAGGGTGTCATCTATGCACCCATCCTCCTCTAGAGCTCATTTTTGTTTGCTTTTTGATGCTTCTCACTGTCTAGAGCCATTGCTGACTTTAATATCTGTTTCAGCTGGTAGTGTAGGACCCTCCTGAGACTTCTGCTGCCACAGTAACAAAGGAGGCCTGATGGTTTATCACCACTTCAGGCCCAAGAAGTTAACCCAAAACAGATAAACTGTGGGCCAAAAGGACATAATGAAGTTGGGAAGAAGTAATTCCATTATTAGATTCTTTATCTGCATCGGTTTTATTGAAATCAAGCTGATTGAAATCAATGCTCACCAAGGCTTGATCTAAGCTTGTATTTTTTTTAAACAAAAAGTACATAATATAGTTGTATCTTCTACACAACTTGAAGACAGAAGTGGATATGGTCTGCTTGTCTTCCTCAAAAATGGAAACTTCATCAAAGTATTCTCAGTGAGGGCCGGCCCTGTGGCTTAGCGGTTGGGTGCACGCGCTCCGCTGCTGGCGGCCCGGGTTCGGATCCTGGGTGCGCACCGACACACCGCTTCTCTGGCCATGCTGAGGCCGCGTCCCACGTACAGCAGCTAGAGGGATGTGCATCTATGACATGCGACTATCTACTGGGGCTTTGGGGGAAAAATAAATTAAAAAAAAAAAAAGTATTCTCAGTGAGGCAGTATTGCAATACAGAGCCCAACAGACCATGTATCTCAGCTCTGCCATATATTAGCTGTGTAACCTCAAACAAATCAGTTAACTTCTCTGTGCGAACCCTCATCTGTAAAATGTAAATATTAATAGTGCCTACCTACCTTGTTTAAGGATTAAATGAGATGATATATGTTAGGTGCTTGCACTGCATGGCACACATGAGTGCCCAATAACTGTAAGCTATTATCATTTCTCTTGTAACCCAACACCAACATTGCAGTTTCCTTCTCCATATAATTTTCTTACTAGCTCTCAAATCACAGCAGTTTATTTATTTTTAACTTTTAGATTGTTCTTCTAGTTTATGGAGCATGGTGTACCTGAGAACCAGAGTAGAGAAGAGCCGAGGATGTAAATATGGGCCTCACACCATAGGTTCCACTCAAATGTATAAGGCTTCTCTGTGCTTGGAAGGATCTGTCGTCAGTAGCCAGGAAGGTATCTGTTAGCAGATTTGAACCACTTGCATTACAAAGGAATGCCGTGACAAACCAGGCTACAAATAAAGATAGAAGAGGACTGACTCCAGCCAAGAGAAAAAGTTCTGGTTTAGGCTAGTATTTTGGAGAAATTGCTTAGACAAAAATAAGTCCTGTGCCACTTGTTACAGAGTATATTGTTGGTTCACTACTATTAGTGTGACTAAATATTGAGAGCAGTTTCTGTAAGTCTTGCACGGAAGTCCATGTGTTATTTTGTAGTAATATTTGTACAACTCCTTTGCTTCTGTTCCCTTTCTTCTCTCCATTTTTTCCACTGCTGCTGTCATTTCCACCCATCGCATTATTTAGCCTTTTTCACCCTGGGTAAACTTCAGCACACTTTGGTTTAAGGTAAATATTCAAATATTCAGTGTGCTAACCTTGTGAGGTAAGGGAAGTGTGTCAAGATCACTGGGGGTGGAAGATCCTAGGGGACTTGGAGAGGAATTTATGAAGTGATTGATCAAGTAAGGTCAGTACAGCCCTCATGAGTGGGGCACAGGTTAACTACGGAGGTGAGAGAGCTTATGGTTGCAGTAGACTAACCATCTGTTGTCTCATGTCCTCTGCCTTTGTTTCCAAGGCAAAAAGCCCTGTCTGGTGTGAGGGGAGCCATGAGCCGTTTCCTGAATGTGTTGCGAAGCTGGCTAGTTATGGTCTCCATCATAGCCATGGGGAACACGCTGCAGAGCTTCCGAGACCACACCTTTCTCTATGAAAAGCTCTACACCGGCAAGCCAGAGCTCGGTAAGAAATCGAAGAACTGCATCCTTTGCGCGAGTGGCCTAAATTGTGGTTCCCAGACCCAGCTGTACATCAGAATAACCTAGAAGACTTACAAACAAAGAAAGCACAGGCGCCCTCTCCGAACCTATTTACTGAAACTTTCACCCCCTGGGTGGGGCTCTGGGTGCTGTTTTTTAAAAACCTCCCATGTGATTCTGATGCTGCCTAATCTAGCCTTTGGCAGTCACTGGAATAAAGACTGTGGAGAGCACTTGGCCCCTTTCCCCCTGGCTTCTCTGAATACCCTTTCATCCATTTCACACTGCCCTAGGCAGTTAGTCTGTACAGAAAGCATTACACACACAAGTGAGGAAATAGAGGTCCTTGGTGACTCTGTGAGGCCCCACTGGAAAGCCATGAGGAAGCTCTGCATGTTATCCAGCCCTCTTCAGAAATCAGGTCACGGCCCACGTGGTTATATTCCATGTTGCAGATGGAGAGTTCCTAATCCAAGGTCTTCCCAAACCGTGACCTGGGCCCTGAGAAGGCACCCAGATCCCTCCAAGTTGGTCTCCCAGAGTGAAGCTCCCGAAGGCCCACGGTGGCCTTTCCCAGCTTCCTGAGCCTCTGCTGAGGGCATCTTCACGTTTCAGCATGCACTCCCTTGCGTTGCTGCCGGGGGGTCACTTGAGCTGCAGCACCACCTCACAGCGCTGACGAGTCCGTGTCACATTTATAGCTAACCCAGATTCAGGCGCTGACCTAGTTCATTTTCCGCAACATCTGTGTATAAAATGAAACGAAGTAGGCTATGGCTCATTTTGAACAAAGCTCAAATACAGTAGGAGTCAAGAACCTGGAAAGCTGGGCAGGACAATTCCACTTTTTCACCCTCAAACGCTGCCCTCGGGTGGTGCAGGAACCCTGTATAGATTCACGGGATTTTAGGTTATCCGCTCTGGCCCTTTGAACTCAAGCTCAGACAGAAAAGCCCAGGGGTCATGTGACTAGCTGAAGGGCATGTAGCTGAGCAAAACAACTGTGTGTGTGTGTGTGTGTGTGTGTGTGTGTGTGTGTGTCTGTCTGTCTGTCTCCAGCCCAGAGTAGAGACTGCCTCCTCCCTCATGATCTGGGGGCTGTCAGGGTTCTCTGCTGGTCATAGCTGTGCTCAGGAGCATCCCGTAGAGTTTCACCTGATGCCTAATCTCCTTAGGGTTGGTGAAATAGTCATTCATATCTCACTAAGTAGAGAAATTTCTTCAGTCTTTTCATCAGAAAAGCTATCAAATTGGTTTATAAAGAATGTAGCTCTCCAGGGCTAACTGCTAGATATTTGGTTGGCAGGTAGAATTTTTTCTCACCTTACTACCATCTAAAGGTCTTCAGGGTTGTGAAATTGGTATCTTTGTCTAGTTTTCCAAAAGCTGGAAAATCCTTAAAGCCCAAGTGAACATTAATAGACGTTTCCATTTTCAGTCTTGTCCCTTGAAATTTCTTTCCTTTGCTTGATAGACTAGCACAGGAAGTGTCTTTGCTTTCACTATTTTGACATTCCTGACCACTGGATGGCTTAGATCAACGGCTGTACAGTACAATCACACAGGGAGAGAGTTTTAGAAAATACTTATGCCCAGGGCCCACCTCCAGAGTATGATTTAATTAGTCTGGTACACAGGTCTTGGTAATTTTATAAAAATTTTTCAGTCGATTCTAATAAATGCCCAGGCTCAAGAACCACTGTTAACAGTGGAATATGATCCATACCTTCAGAACAAGATATTTAATACAGCAGTGTCAGAACGAAGCCGCCAAGAGCAGGGTGGCCTCAGAAAACAAGAAACGGTGCTTTGTTCCACTACCACGTGCACAGGAAATCAGTCTGGATTGGGCTCTATTCAAATAATATAGATCTGGATTCAGGAGAAGACCCGGGGACTTAGGTCTCTTAAAGACCAGATGTGGGCATCTAGATAGCTCCCAATATTTCTGAGTTCGCCCCTCATCAGTTTTGGAAGTCTACTAATCTCCTAGGCATCTTGTATTGACAGACCACTCTGCAACATTCCTCCAAATCTGTCCTGATCCAGACTTGCTGGGCTTTCTCAACACCCGAGTGGCTTCCAGTGCAGAAGCTTAAACTACTACATCTAGGAGTTATTGCCTAAGTGGCTCTTTGTTGGGTTTCTATTCTTGGGACTCCCCCACCCAACTGTAGACATCTGAAGAAGAGCTGAGCAGTTCTCATTCTGGAATTCCTTCCCTTCCTTCTAGTTTCCATGTGCAGCACCAGCGCCTCTTTCCACTCTGCCCAGCCAGAGGGAGTTCAGGCTCAGCTCCCTGCCTCCCATGACCCACCAGTGACATGGGAGGAGTCTGGAAGGAGCCTTACTCCTCCCCTTCTCAACAGTCTTACTTTTTTTTTTTTTTGTGAGGCGATCAGCCCTGTGCTAACATCTGCCAATCCTCTTTTTTTTTTTTTTGCTGAGGAAGACTGGCCCTGGGCTAACATCGGTGCCCAACTTCCTCCACTTTATATGGGACACCACCACAGCATGGCTTGCCAAGCAGTGCGTCGGTGCGCGCCCGGGATCCGAACCTGTGAACCCCAGGCCGCCGCAGCGGAGCGCGCACTTAACCGCTTGCGCCACAGGGCTGGCCCCTCAACAGTCTTACTTTTATCTGCTACATAGTGAATGGCCTCCAAGCTCGGACCTTTGGGATCTGGACGCTGCTCTTATCAGTGATTCGCTGCATCTGTGCCATCGACATCCACAACAAGACGTATGTAAGGGAAGGAAGAGCTTTAGCATCTTTCTGTTGGAAATCAGGTGCTAAGCATACTCACTGTGGTCCTCCCCTTGGAGACCTGTTAATTATGACACATTAGCCTAGAATGTGGTTAATAAAAGGTTAATAGGTTCCATTCCTTCCAGGCCTAACAACATAGTAGACTTAACGGTTCTTTAAAGTTTGACAATTCTTCGGAACTGACACAGCAAAGTAGTAGTGTGGTGATCCAGTGGCCTGCATCATATCCCTCTACTTCGTTACTGAGGAATCAGCCTTTCTTCTACTGAAGGAGTAGAGTGGCGTGCTGTTTTTTAGAGCAGCCACCCACATGTACCTTGTTCTCACATTCCTCCTCAATAAGCAGGAATGACCAGAAATCACGATCCTGAAAAAACCAGCCCAGAAGTAACGTGTTTTACGCTTAAGCAGACTCAGTCGGTGAAGGTGACAGAGAACTGGGGACCCCTGTATTCTGCCTCTCTAGGTACTCAAGGAGACCAGTGTGGAGCAACTGCAGGCAGTCTAGCCTCCTAGGCAATGCTGTAACTGGTGGGGCCACTGGAGGGGGCTCGAGCTCTCTTCCCAGCAACAGTCATCACCACAGTGAAGTGGAATGTTCGCTCAGGTCACTGAGTGAGGCCACCAACGCCAACTTCACACTAAAACATTTTTTTGTCTTACCCAAACTCTCAACATCTGGAGAAGAGAGGAGGTAACGGTACTGACCCCTCTGATTATGCCGGATGCTTTCATCCACATGACCTTGATTAAGTCTCCTCCTAACAGCCCTGGGAGGTAGTGATTTTCATTCCAGATTTTGCAGATCTACGTATTAGAGACCCAATTTATTTATTTATTTTTGTGAGGCCGATCAGCCCTGAGCTAACATCCATGCTAATCCTCCTTTTTCTTGCTGAGGAAGACCAGCTCTGAGCTAACATCTATTGCCAATCCTCCTCCTTTTTTTTTTTCCCCACAGCCCCAGTAGATAGTTGTATGTCATAGCTGCACATCCTTCTAGTTGCTGTATGTGGGATGCGGTCTCAGCATGGCCGGAGAAGCGGTGCATCTGTACACGCCCAGGATCCGAACCCGGACCGCCAGCAGCAGAGCGTGCGCACTTAACCGCTAAGCCATGGGGCCGGCCCCAGAGACCCAATTAATTTAAACAGAGGAAGACTGACTCCAGTCAGTCTGCCACTCCAATGGCAATAGACGTTAGCTCAGAGCCGGTCTTCCTCAGCAAAAAGAGGAGGATTAGCATGGATGTTAGCTCACGGCTGATCTTTCTCACAAGATTAGCATGGATGTTAGCTCACGGCTGATCTTTCTCACAAAAAAAAAAAAAAAAGATATACCGCTGATCCCTATCAGCCCTTCTTCATCATGGTAAAGGTCTTTCAAATGAGTAGTCAAGCCTCACTCACTCCCTGTCACTCTGAGAGGAGGTCAGATACACTAGTCTCACTTCATACATGCAGGACCGATATGCAGAGCAGGTCTATAATGAACTTGTTGCTACAAAGCTCGTTACCAACAGAACTGAGACCAGAGCCCATTTTCTAGTTTTCATTTTCAGGCTCCAGGCTGTTTCCACTAAACCACACTGCTTCCTAAAATACGTGTCAGTCTAGAACAAATAAACCACAGTTTTCAAGTTCAAAAGAGAAAAGTATTTTAAAAATAAAGTTGGAGAGATCGCAGGGCTAATAGCGCTGCCTCAAATCCCACTGGAGGGACTTAACTGCTAAGCCAAGGGGCCGGCCCGGGGTATATCTTCTGTTTACTGTGCTTTTGCAGTGAGCAAAGACAGCTCAGACTTATTTTTACCCCTATTACCCATTCATTTTCCTTTCTCCCAACACAGGACAGCTGCAGAGGCTGACTTCTGTTTCTAGCTTTATTTAGCCTTTGGTTCATGCACTTCTGCTGTGCACACTCATTCGATTCTCTCCCTAACTGGAAACTCAAAATCAACTCTCATACATACATATTTACTAAATGTGTAAAAACATGCACAGCAAGGACAAAAATCAAATTTGACATACTGGTTCCTTCTAGGGCATAGAAGAAGAATGGGATCAAGATGGGATAAAGACACATAGGATGCTTTACCTGATATCTGTAATATTTTAGTTTTTAGAAAAAAGTATCTGAATCAAAAACATCAAAACATTCAGATTTGGTGGAGCAGGTATAGGTTGCATAGGGATTAATTATAATATTCTCTTATCTATAATTTTTGTATGTTTCAAGTATTTCATAATTCGTAAAATTTCATAATTCAAAAAAAGATAGCATCAGTCCAGGCGGTTGATCACCCTGTAACCTGTCTCTTCCCCACCTCTTTATCAAAGCCGAGGAACAAGTTCTCTTCCTGTGAGGTTGTCAATGTGTCCTCCACCTCACCATTGTCCTAGGCTGAGACACAGATTAACCAGCCCACATTGCGAGAGCATCTGAAAGGCCCAGAGGGGTCCTTGCTGCTCATCTCCCGTTCAGGCCCTGCATTCTGTGGCATCCATGACAGGAGCACTGACCAGCCCCTGGCCAAACATCTGCCGGGTGGGCTTGGACTACAGAGGCAAGCCAGTTTGAGTAAGGAGAATATGTAAGCGTGACTGATCCCAAATCGTCTACACTGCCTGGGACTGCCATTGTCCAGACTCAGCTTTGCTGTAGCTGGCTTCACCACCTTGCTAAGACTTGGAGATCATTCTGGAAGCCGGGACCGTTCTCCTTTCAGTTTAGTCTTTGAAACCTTCAGTTCTGCCCCAGTAGAGAATAAACTGATGTGATCAAGCGGCCAGGTCGTTCTCAGGACCAAGTCTCTTTTCCTTCCGCCATAGTCACTGCCTGGGTTTTTCTCTGGGTGTATCCAGTCTGACGGCTCCTTTTCCTCTGCACTGAGCACGCAGGCCCTTCAGTTCCCATTTCTGTCTGCTCCCTTGCAGGCTCTACCACCTCACGCTCTGGACCTTCCTCCTCGCCCTGGGGCACTTCCTCTCCGAGGTGTTTGTATATGGGACCGCGGCTCCCACGATTGGCGTCCTGGCACCCCTGATGGTGGCAAGTAAGCCTCCAACCACCCTAGACCCCCCACAGGAACTGGCCCAGCCCTAGAGCCGGGGCCGGAGAGCAGACCCACAAGGGTTTAAGAAAGCGCTGTGTTCACGTCTGTTCTCTGTTCTCTGTATTCAAGGTTTCTCAATCCTGGGAATGCTAGTTGGGCTCCAGTACCTGGAAGTTGAACCAGTATCCAGACAGAAGAAGAGAAACTGAGGCCACCCCCACCACCTCCAAGACTTCGTCTTCCACCTTCGCTGTCCTGTGCCTTCATCCTCTCTGCTCTTTAATTTCTTCTTCTCTGCTCTGTCATCAGCCCCCTTACCCATGTCTAGCATTTTACCTTTGGAGGTTTTTTTACATTAAAAAATTTTTTAACATATAACATGTATGCACAATGTAAAGAATCATTTTAAAGTGAATACGCTGTACCTCCATCCAGATCAAGAAATTGCCAGCACCTCCGAAGCCCACTGTGTGCCCTTCCCCCACCTCCACCTCTTCCAGGATCACTTTTCCAGCCTTCTGCCTTTTTCCTTTTATTTTCAATCCTTGATGTGACTTGTGTGGTGGGAACAGGTGAACTGTGAAACTTAAAGCTGCTGCCTAACACAGAGCAGATGACTCCAAGGTCTGCTTTCAGAGGTCGTCCACCCACGTTGGGCTCTTCTCTGCTGCTGCACCCAAGACTCTGAACCATCCGAGGGACAGGCAGTTCTTCTGAGAAGGGCTCCTCTGTGAGTGAGCGTGGCTCATATCCTTGTATCTACATGTGGATCAGGGTTGGAAGAGTTGGAGCTGTTTTAGACCTTCTGTTCAGCTGTGTTTGTGTAACAAATTTTGTGATAAATAGAAAAACTCTCTGTTCTGATCAGTCCTTGTACTTTGACCTCCCCTAAGCCAAGAGCACTCGGGCCCTCCTCTGAGCCCGAGCGAAGGAGAAGCACAGCTTTCCACGGATCAAAGACACCAGAGTGAGTAGGACAGCTCAGGACCCAGGCACACCTGGCTGCCTCCAGCCCCCTTTGTCACTTGCTCATTTTTCTTGAAGTCAACTCTTCCTCCTCTCCTTCCTCACCTTCAAGATTCTGAGTTCACAACTGCATGGTCAGGACCCTTTCTTGTTTTCTTCCTAAGGAAGAAACAGATTCTTGAGAAAGCAGAGGCAGAAAAGACAACAAGGCAGCACAGAAGACACAGCTGCCTGACCCTGAAAAGGAGAGCACTGACCTCCCAGGACAATGCGCTGGAGAGGACAGGTGCCCTCCAGACACAACCCTGAGAGGCTACCACTGGCTGGGGCCTCCCACACAGCGTGTAGACTTGAGAGCCCATTTATGGTTTTAGCAAGTGTTTATCGAACACTTACTCCCTGCCAGACACATGGGAAAGAGACAGACAGCCCAGGCAATGTCCCTGCTCCCATGGCCCTTACCTTGTCATCAGGGAAACCTGATCAACAAGTCAACAGGTGAGAGAACAACTTCAGACAGTGCTAAGAACTCTAGAAAACAAGGAGTTGTGATCAAGAAGGGGAGGAGGGCATAAGTTAGATCATCGGGAAAGGCCTCCCTGAGGAGGTGAATTTTAAGATTAGACCAGAATGCCCAGACAGCAGATGTCTTCAGATATGAGGCGGGCGTTTAGGGCAGAGGGAGCAGCATCTGGAAGGTAGGAACAGTCTTGTTCAAGGAGTAAGATCAGTCTAACTATGGTATGGTGAAGTTAGGAAGCAGAAGGTAGGAGATAGGTCAGAAAGAGGCAGGAGACTTGTAAGGGATCATAGGAAGCTTGAAGTTGATACTTGAGTGCACTGGGAATTCTCTATCAGTTAAGGCTCTTTAGGTGAAAGGAACAAAATCTGCCTTAAAGTGGCTTAAACAATAAAAATAACATTCGCTCACAAAATTGAAAAGTTAAGAGGATATAGGCTTCAGTAATGGTTTGATCAGGACTCAGCTCCATTTCTCCACAGTTCTTTCAGCTCTGCCCTCCTGCATTGGCTTCATCCTCAGGCTGGCTTCCTTTATGGCGCCAAAAGTGGGTGCAGCAATTCCAGCCCTCACATCCCCACAATAGCACATCTAGAAAACTAGCTCAGTGATAAGAACTATCTTTCCCTTACTCACCAGCTATTGTAAGGAGTAAGTAAGAAAAAGAGGCAGTAAGAAACACAATGATCTTAGAGAGAGTGAACATTTGAGTGGAGATCCCCATGGAGCCCACCTAAGAACGAATGAATGAAGCATAAGATGATTTGAATCGTTGAGGCAGGCATCATGGAAATGTGATTCCAGAAAAATAAAGACAAGAGCCCAAAGGATCTAAAAAGAGGACATAGAGTATTTAGCAGACACTATGAATATTAGATTTCTTTAACAACCCAGGCTTGGCTCCCTTCCCAGATGATATAGAGGAGAATCATACTGTTGTCTCTCTCCAGCTAAGAATTACTAACAGATATGGTGCCAGAAGGCCATAGGCACAGTGCAACTCTCTAGGGAAGAAACCTACAGAAAACTGACGGCAGCAGCACATCCAAGTAACAGCCATAAGGTGAATGCAATTGGGAGGGAGAGTGGCAGTAAGTAGGACACTTCAGGAGAAAAATGGTAACAGAACTGCAGGGGCCGAGACTGCGGACTCCAGTCAGAGCAGGCTGGTGCGAGCCTGGGGTGATTGTAGAACAAACACCTCGGCCACCCTGTGAAGCAGAGCCAGAAACGACAGTGGGCTCCATCAGCAGCCACACTTGGTGAACCGTCTTCATGTGTACACAGCATGGGAAGCGGTCAGGGTCGCGTGTTGGGCGTTGAGGTGCAGTCCCCCACGCAGGCTGACAGTAATCTTTCCCTCCTTGGCCTTAAAAAATAACCCAGGTGACCAGGATGGTAAATCACTTCTATGGAGGCCAAGGAGCTGCACCTCCAGCCCAGACCTGCCCCACCCCCAGCCCTTTCCCACACCTTAGTCCTCAGAAACGTGCGAGTCTCGTGGGGACTACTAAAAGCCATCTCTGCCCCACCAAATGACAAGGCAGATCACTTGAAGAATCTTTTATTGCCGTAAAACATCTGGTATTACAAATAGAAAATACAAATTGTTTTTAAAATAAAGCCATGGATTCAGTAAACATTTGGTTAACACACTTTAAGGGGCTGAAGAGTAAACACCTTTCTCCACATCAAAAAGTCAGGTACACTTTCTCTTCACCTCTCTTCCACCCCTACCTCACTCCCCCCACCAGAAGTGTCTGTACACACACAGCCCTGGCTCTCCTCAGGCAGTGGCCCAGGCACCCCAGCACCGCGGCCAGCACAGGCTGCCCCAACGTGCTGAGGCCAGGACAGTGGCCACAGGGGAACAGCACAGTGGTCATGACTGTAGCTCAATGCACAGGAGGAAATACCATCATGTCTTATTTTCAGGAGACACTACCCAAGCCCATGAGTAGAGCCAGACAGCAGGCTAGGCAGAGGAGGAGGTCAGCTTGAGATGGTTTAAAGGGAATCCCTTTAAATTTAGAACATCTGATGAAGATTGTTGCTAGAAGGTGGTCGGTATGCAAATCCTGTCCCCACCAAAGGTGGGGTACACTTAATTCAAGCTGACTCCATTCCCATTTCAAGGGCCTCATCCGTCTGCCCGTTCATCTCAGAAGCAGCTATGGGTTTCTCAGGCTGGAATGAATCAAGATTAATTTTCAGTAAGGTTATAGGAAGTTGGCTGGGACTTCCCTCCCTCTGGAGCAAACAAGTACTTAGGCCGATGACAGAGTTTCTCAAGGCAGCGTCCAGGTGAAGGCATCAGAGGTGACTGTGACACACACACAAGTCCCTGGGAAAGGACTTCTTTTGTAGACAAGAACCTTCCCGTTCCCAAATCAAGTCTGTTAAATAAATGGTTTATCCATGTGCAGTCATTACAACATGGTACAGCCATGAAAAGTATGTTGTACAAGACTAATGACCTGATACAGTGTTCACAATAAGTAAAAAAGCAGATAGAAGATCATTTTTGTTTTAAAAAATACGTATATATTTTTTACACATATTTTTAAAAATACATATATAGATATATATGTATTCATATATGTGGATATATGTTATATGTGGATATAGACATGTACATGTAAATTTAAAAAAACAGCTTCTCACCTCTAGATGATGGTATTACAGGGTGATTTTTAAATTTTGTACACTTCTCTGTCTTTTTCAGTATTTCTACAAAGAACATCTATTACCTCTGTAATAGGTTTTAGGTGTTTTGTTTATTTTTTAAGAAATATTCCACTTTTACTCCTTCTGAGATTTGAAATTTCTTTCATCCAGGCTCAGATTTGATACCTAACATTTTGGTTAAAATAGTTCCCACCTGGTTGGAGTAGATGGGAAACACTTTTCTGTTCTAGATCATACTCCTGGTCCTGTCCCCTTCTACCACTATCAGCTCCTACTTCCTGAACTGTCCTTTTAAAGCCCTACTGGCTCCATTGGCTCCAGTCCTCCGTCTCCATCCCACTGCCTAAGGGGTTGTCACATGCCAGGAGAGCCACTGCCTTGGGGCCATCACCACCAGGACAGAATGGTTGAGCCTGGCTTCCACCTTTGCTCTCTAGCCACTGACCCCAGGCTGAAAGCAGTGGAGCCAGGGCCTCAGGACTTGTGTCAGGATCTGGGGTGGACACTACTCAGCAGACTGTGACAACAGTGATGTGCTCTGGGGACCAGAGCAGGGAGGCCAGGAGAAGGGCAGGAAGTGGGAAAAGAGCCCGGGAAAGAGCAGCAGAAAAGCAGTGCTGAAACACCCACTGAGGAAACTCTCTGGGCGCCATGTTTGTGAGTTGAGTTGGTTTCACAGCCACCACGAAACCAGTCCACTTCGGGAGCTCCCCCAACCCCCACCCCTGCTGCCACATCCTCGGCCAACGCCCAGAACCCAGAACTCTGCCCAGCAAGCTCCCCCATACTCACATTCTCAGGGGTTTCCTTATTTGCTTTCTGCCTCCGGAGATCTGCCTTAATGAATGCTGAGGTCGAGGGATCAAGAAGAAAAAGCAACAGAGACACAGAGTTATGAAGCCGACCAATGGTCAAGTTCATCTAAGAGAGGGAGGCCTCATTTTCCTTATGGTCACAGGTATCCCAGACCTACTTCAGATATCCCAGGGAGCTGGGGGTACCATCAGCCAACTTGATAAAGCCTGGCGATCGCTGCTGTCCCTGACAGGCAGAAGCCAATGATGACACTGGCCTTCATTTATAGATCACTTATATTTGCCACGGAGTTTGGACACATCGCTCTAATCCTCACAACAGTCCCCATTTTACAGACG